GTGAGAGGGGGGCTTTACTGGCAGGATCCTGAGGCGCATGGCCAGCCAAGCCTTGGGTGAAGGCAGGATACATCTGGGCTAAGGTGCCCTAGGGACTAGGGTCCCAGTGTGGCAGGCCTTCACCCCTGTTTCTGCGTTCCCGCCTCTGGGGCAATGGGACCACGTGCTTCAGCTCCCTTGTCCTGCTCAGCAGGAAACCAGGCTGTAGACGGTGCCAGAGTTTTCATTTCACAGCCTTGCTCCCTGGAAAGAGCTCCAGATCCAAAATCCTTGGACAGCCTCTGGTTGCCCTAGTTCAACCAGTCAGGGTCAGGGGCCCAGGGGATTACAGGAAAAGGCTTCCTGAGAAGTATTCCCGAGGAGGGGCCCTGGGGCCCCGAAGACGGTCAGAATAATGTCTACACTGTCAACGGCCTCCTGTTGAGCGAACGAAGTCCACGTGGAACGCGGGGAATTAAGCCAAAAATGAGTAAGGCCCATTCATTCCTGAGCGGGAGGGCAGAACACAGAAAACATAGCAATCTGGATTTTGCAATCCTATCAAGATAAAGTAGAGAAGACTAGATAAAAAGTGCTAATATTCACAGAGCGACATGCCCCAGGCTCTCTCCTAAACACGGTAACATGGTTTGCCTCTAACTGTCACAAAACACCGTGGTCTGAGTGTTATTCTTCTTCCTATTTTATAAAGAGGAAAGGGGCGCCTAGAGGGTGAAGGAACGCACCCCAGGTGGAGCACGGTCGGGGGGTGGTGGGTGTCCAAGCCCCTGCACCCTGACTCAGGTCCTGAGCCACCACGAAGGGCTGCCTTGTCAAGGAGCTCCGTGGGAGGTACGAAGCTATTCTTAGAAGTTATGATTTGCACACATTGTAACTTCAAAGCCAGGTGTCAGGAAGACCTCCAATGTGGCACAGGTTTTGGATTCCGACCTGAGCCAGAATCTCGGCTCGGAGGACCTCCGTGTAACCAGGTAACCGTGGTTCGCCCGTCTATTAAATGGGACTAGACTGAAGGTATTTTTGCATCTGTCTATGCACATTACGGAGCCTTCAAGACTCGGGCTCCCCTCCATCGCCGGGTCTGGTGCACCAGGGATGGAGGGGAACGCGCTTGGGCCTCCGGGCTTGTCACCAGGGGGCGCGCGAGGCCCGCAGCGGGGAGGGCGCGCGTTTGCAGCCCCCGCCTCTTGACTCTCCGGAGAGGCCCCCCCGCCTCCGGTTGCGCATGCGTGTCTCGGTCCCGCGGTTGCGATTGGCTCTCAGGCATCAAAGCCAGGGTGCGCATGCGCGGCAGCGGCGGGCAGGTCCGTCGGCCAAGATGGCTGCCAAAAGTTTTGCATCCCGCCTCCGAGGCTCCCGGCGCTTTTTAAGCGGCTTCGTGGCCGGAGCTGTAGTGGGCGCCGCGGGAGCCGGACTCACGGCCTTGCAGTTCCTCCGGCGTCAGGGCGCCGAGGCCGCGTTGGCGGTGGGGGAGCCGGAAGGTACGTCTGGGCCTGCGTTCCGGTCCCGGAGCCAGGGGGCAGGCCCGCCTCCTACCTCGGGCTTGAATGGATCGTCTTCCCAGCCCGCGCTTTGGGGCCTTTCCAGTCTCCCTGCTCGGCCTCCTTTCTCCAACGCCCCGCCGAGGCCGCCTCCTTCCTTACCCCGGGGATCTTCCTTTCTTCTACCCCCAGGGGTTTGTCGCGAGGAGCCTGTGTCGGCCGCTAGACGGTCAGCCGAGAGCTCGGGCCGCGTCTGTTCTGTGCTCCACCGCAGTCACTGCCCGGCTCCCCGGAGGGTTGAAAAGCCTGGAGGGCTGTTTTGAAAGCGGCTCCCTGTTCAACGCCTGCCTGGTTTCTCCCACTCGGGTAGAACCAGGTTTCCCAGGACCCTGCTGCAGCACGTGCCGCTAGAACCGTGGGCCGAGTCGGGGCGGGGCGGCCCTTCGGGCTTCCCGACGCCTCGCGCGGGGACGGCGCTCCTTCCCGCCCGGTCAGAGCAGAGACCAGGAACGACGGAGTGTTTCCTTTGTGGCTTTTGTATACACAGTGCTTTGTGAGGCAGAGATTTGACATTTGGATGGGAAAGACCGGTCAGGTCAGGTCCTTATTTGAAAGTGCATGAGATACAGCCACAGTTTACCTTGATAGAACTATACAGCTGATTATAGACAGAACCTATATTTTGTTTGCTGTCTCTTTGTGTTTTAAATAATTGCAAAAAACGAGATCTCTCTTTTTATTATTATTTTTGGCAGTTTAAAATGATTTATTTGACAAACTTCTGTGGTTGACGTTTCAGCATTTCATCGACTGCAAACATAAGGAAATAATTCGGGGGCCTAATATACTTTTGAAATAATATTTATGGTTCCTAAAAATGTACATTCACATAGTTTGAAATGAACATATTTTAAGAAACTTCAAGCTTATTCAAGCATTGTTTAACCTCACAACATATATTAATATTGTTGGCAATATTTGTAAAAAACGAGATCTCTTAAAATTAGACTTTTGATTCAGTCCTTTGTAAATCTTACCCCTCTTCCTTTACTTACATTTTTTTGTTGTTGTTCCTAATAAAGAGTCACTAACTTTGTTATTTTTGTCTCTTCCCTATCCCCCCTACCCCCAATTTTTCATTTTTAGGTTCTGCAGAAAAGACTCTCTTGGGACAATTTGGATTTCCTTTAACTGGAACAGAGACTAGATGTTACACTAATCATGCCTTGTCTTATGACCAGTCAAAGCGGGTGCCTAGATGGGTTCTTGAACATATATCCAAAAACAAGATAATGGGTAGGTGGTTAGACATAAAGGCACTGATGAAAGATGTTTCCAAATTTAGAACAAGGGGCATTATTGATAATCTCAACCTTTTTTACATTACAGCACATTCATTCGTTATCTCCACAAATGTTTTTTAAGTGCCTGCCACGTATCTGGCTTTGCTAAACCTTGGGGATATATCAGTGTCCAGAGTAGATGGTCTCTGCCTCCCTGGCACTTTGAATTGGAGCGGGGATGAGTTGACCTGCAAACAAGTAATCATGAACGTATAATTACATTCATGATAACTCTTCTGAAGGAAACGTGATTGCAGCTTGGGTTTGTATAATTAAGGAACAGTAACAAGTATGAGAGATTATAACAGGAGATCCTGATTTTTATTAGTGAGGCTTCTTTGACAAAGTGGGCTGTAGGGCAGGTGGCAGTTACCTAGGCAGAGGAGTTGGTGGGCCATGCAGTGTGGAGAAGAGCATTCCAGACAGAAAGAAAAGCATACTTGCATCTTTCAAGGCCCCAATGTGAAGAGTTTTGTTCCCTTGGGGAACTAAAAGAAGGCCAGAGTGGCTGCAGCAAGGGAGGACATGATGTGAAATGAGACTGGAGAGGTAGGTAGGTGCGTTAAGTCTGTTCATGTGCCCTTATGTCTTGGTAGATTCCTGTAATTAAGATGACCAGATCTCAATATTTAATATCAAATTGATTTCTGGGTAGATTATTTCAGTTTACACTCCTGCCATCACTATTTGTCCAATGTCTTCCAGCCCTCACCCATAATGGGCATTATTGGGCTTTTTACCAACTTAATAGCTGATTTTACTTGCATTTATTGGTTGCCAGTAAGGGTTAATATTTTGTTAGTTATTCTTTGTGAATTATCCTTTTCTACCTTGTTGGGATGTTCTTTTTTGAATTGGTTTGTAGTTCTCATATATTAAGGATATTATCTTTTGTCATAGTTGTTTTATTCTCATTTTATTTCCTTTTAATTTTCTATATGGCCCATAGTTTATATCTCCTTTGCTTTGCAATGCGTGCTATGTTTATGTATATAAAACTGCTGATGTTAGAATGTGTCCATGCTTTTATAGTGTGTATACTAACCAGCAGAACAGCAGGAGGCTTGAGGCTGGAATGTGCCAATAGAGGGAAACTGATGTAGGTGTCAACTTTATCGTAGCAGTTGAGACTTGATTGTAAATTTACATCAAGAGAAACTCATTTGATGTATTCTCAAGCCTAATGAGTTTCCTTTAAATGCAAAAATTTTCCCAAAGTATAAGGCATTTTGGCTTTTACTAATTTTATCCTGCTATTAAGTTATTTCAGAGGCATATAAGAAAAGCACTGTTTCATATAATAAACCTTATGAACTGTAAGGTTTTAAAGAGGTAAAATAGAGCCAATTATATTTGAAAACAGAAAGGAATATACCTGTGATTTATTTGATTTTAGTGTAAAGCCCTTTGTTTTTAGTAAGGACAGACTAAGTTTTTCAGACTATTTTGCTAAAAACAAGAATGTTATTAGCGGTATGTAAAAAGTATATCAAAAAATCATACACCTACACACAAAAATGAAGTCAGCATGATAGTGGAGAATTGCCAGGCTATATATCTAATATACAATCTGCATTTCAGATTTGCCAAATTTTTCCAGTTACGTTCTTTACAGGTTTTTTTTGGATCCAGTATCCAATTATGAATCACATAATACATTTAGTTGTCATATATCTCCAGTCTCCTTTAATTTAGGATAATTTATCTGCCAAAAAAGAAGAGAAATGTCTTTTATGACATTGATATTTACTGCATGAATTGTTGGTGATTATTATCATTTAGATAGTGGTTCTCAACTAATATTTGGGGGAAAGCCAGAATCCACAGAGGTAAGGGCAGTCCTGGCAAATCAAAGCCACATTGCCTTTGGTTCTGCAGCCTTGTAGGATGAGGTGGACTGAAGGCAAGACCCAGGGTTCACCCAAGGTAGATTGCCTTATAGGAGAACCTCTGAACATTAACCTGGAACCCTAGAGGGCTGCACCCTGGGAAAGGCTGAACCAGAGCTAACTTGCCTGTCCAGCATACAGGACTATGTGAAAGGTCATCTTGCCCTGAGCAGAGAAGGGTCAAAAAGAATAAAAGGCTTGTTCTGCAGAAGTTGAGGCCACAGACTGCCTATCGTGCAGACTTGTAGCCCAAAGCCATGTAGCCTGGATAGATCAAGGACCCAATTTCGTGAGCTTAAGTCCTGAGCTTGGTTTAATATGGTCCTCCACTGCTGTTGCCTCCAGACACCTGATAGAAGTAAGTTTATATCCTTGCTCTAGGAAGGCATCTTCATCCTAAGCCTTTAAAAATGCCCACAAATGATTTTTCAAGGGCAGCGAACGCCAGGCAGACATAACTAGGCATACAAGGAAGCAACTTCCATGGTAATAACACTTGGAGACGTTTACTGATGATTCTGTATTCCCAGTTACTTTTTTTTTTATGAAGATTCCAAAAAGCTAGGTATTAGATATTCTACTCTGAATCTTGGGATCTGATAATTTAAAAATTATTCTTGGCTGAATAAAATGACATTGTAGTCAATCTCCATTTTACACCTTTTTTCAGTAGCATTTGTCCTCATAATTTTTGTAATTTAACAAGATCTGTCCTAATGACACTGGAAAATGTAGTGCTAGGATTTGCTGATGTCCACTGTGGCAAACTCCTTCTGGAGCTATCAGAATATAAGTAAAATTGAGATTTCTTCTCTCCCATGTGGTACTTATTTCAGGAATTTTCTGGATTGAACTCATAACTTGAATATTTGTTTTGTCATGGCTTGAGAGGCAGTAAGCAAGATATCAGAGACACTCTCCCCCTCCGCTCGGCTGTGCCTGCCCAGAACAAATTGTTTTGTGTCTATATATATCCATTATTTTAGTCCATGTAAACTTGTTAAATACGGTTGTACAAAATATAATATGTGGGGGTCTTTTTAAAAAGCAAGAATTTATTTAGTAGCCAAGCTTTTTATTTAAACAGTTCAGATACTTAATTGGTCATTGTTTTTATGTAAATACTATCCAGGGAAATTTTTCCCCCTTAAACTTGAAAGGCCATAAACAAAAGTATATGAGATAGCTACACTGTATGAAAAGCATTCTTTCCTAGACTCTCCTTGCTAAATTCAGATGAAGTATCTGAACTATCCCAGGAACTTGAGACATGCATGAAGTCACTAACTACTAGCTGCTCAGAGAGATACTGGCCAGAGCAACCAGCTCGCCTTGCTTAGAGAATCATCAGGGATATTTGTCTACTGATAACTTACCCATTTTGTGTGTTTTTTTCTTCAGGTGATGCAGACAGAAAAGATTGTAAATTCAAGCCTGATCCCAACATCCCTCCAACCTTCAGTGCCTTCAACAAGGACTACATTGGAAGTGGATGGTCACGAGGACACATGGCTCCAGCAGGAAATAACAAGTTTTCATCTGTAGGCATATTGTGGGGGAGGGGTGGGAATACAGAGCTGGTGTTGTGCCATGGGACTTGGAGATTAACAACCTAGCAGCCAAACCTTAAAACTTGAGAATTTCTAGCCTCCATTTTTATGTACTTTTTTCCTGGCTTTATTTTTTGCTCAGATGCTGAGACATTTTTAAACAGGTTGAATGAGGAAAACTAATGCCATGTAAAAGGGAACTGGAAAGTCAATAGGAGTTGAAGCTACTCATTTTTATTTTGAAAAGTTTCAGACCTGCATAAAAGTTGAAAAGAGAACAGCAAACACATTTTGGTACATTCACTTTATGTGTGTGTGTGTATGTGTATAAAATTTTAACCATCGCAGACATAACACTTCATTCCAAAATATATTGCTTAGGAAACTATCAGTTAAGAATGGGGAATATTTGTAGAGTGTCATTATATGAAAAAAATGTGTGCAAATGTGTTTTTGTATATTTGTACAATAATATACATAATTTGCATTTCAGATTTGCCAAATTGTTCCAATTATGTTCTTTACAGCTTTTTTTGGATCCAGTATCCAATTATGAATCACGTAATACATTTAGTTGTCATATATCTCTATTCTCCTTTAATTTAGGATAATTTCTCTGCCAAAAAGGAAGAGAAATGTCTTTTATGACATTGACATTTACTGCATGGATTGTTGGTGATTATCATCATTAAGATAGAGGTTCTCAACTTCAGATACTCATTATAACCACCTGGGGAAGTTTTAAAAATTTCTGATGCCCAGACCTGTAACCCAGACAGCTAAATCAGAAACTCTAGAGGGTGGAACCCAGGTTATCTGTCTATCATCTATCTATCTATCTATCTATCTATCTATCTATCTATCTATCTATCTATCTATCTATCTATCTATCTATCATCTCTGTCATCTATCTATCTATCTATCTATCTATCTATCTATCTATCTATCTATCTATCTAATCTATCTATCATCTATCTATATATCTATATCTATATATATATTGTATTTTTTAATCCTCCCTTGAGGCCGTGCTTAGAGAGAGGAAGGGGGGAGAGAGAGGAAGGAGAGAGAGAGAGAAACATTAATTGGTTGCCCTCCATACGTGTCTGGACAGGGGATCGAACCCACAACCCAGGTATGTTCCCTAACGGAATTGAACTGCCAACCTTATGGTGCACAGGACGGATGCTCAACCAACTGAGCTACTCTGGCTGGGCCAGGCACCAATATTTTTAAAGCTTCCTAGATTTTCCAGTGTGCAGCCAAGGGTGAGAGCCACTGCTTGAAGAGCAGGTAGTTGGTGCCTTTGGCAGTAAGTCTAGATCAATGAAAGGAAATATACTTACAGGGCTTTGTGTTTATGGGTCAGAAGTATAAAATGAATGAACATGTGGCCAGAAAACTCCTGTAACTTGCCAGAGGCTTAAAACCAGAATTTAGCTTAAAACCCTTTATCTTCATATTGGAAACTTTTAGTTCTTAGAATCTACACTGTAGGTTTGGATTTTATAAATTATGAAGAAAGCTAGCACACCATTCTTCTCATTTTGTTAAAGTCCTTATTTTGAATAATCATCATTGAACTTTCTGTCCTGGAATAGCTGTGGCTTTAGTTTGTCTAACAAGTAGTGGCTGTAATTGCCTAGAGCTAAGCATGAATAAGGAACACTTGTCCCTGTCTGTTTTGTGAAGTCCTTCTCCAAGGGGGAGGCATTTCAGTACAAGTTACTATTGTTTCTTTTCACAGAAAGCCATGGCTGAAACCTTTTACCTTTCTAATATTGTGCCTCAGGATTTTGATAATAATGCTGGATATTGGAACAGGTGAGGGGTGAGAGTTTTAAAAATGTGATTCTGTGGGAGATGATGTGAGGAGAATTTACTAGTTGCTTGTCAAGTGTTTCTGTCTTTGTTTTTCAAAAGCTATTACTACTGGTAGTACTTTCATGAAGTACTTTGGACTAGTTTTCTTTGCTGTATTTCAGGAGTATAGTTTTCTGTGGAGTTCAGACTTCAGAACATAGCCAGCCATTTTGATCATGTTTGCCCCTGGTCAGAAGTCAATTTCTGGAAGAAACTACTAAAAATATTATCATGGAGGCCTAGAATATTTTAGAATATGTCCAGAGAACACCATATTTTTCTCTATTTGTATTTCAGGAGTTTCTACCTTTAAAAAACTGTTTGGTACAATTAAATATAACCATCAACCCATTTTTAAATCAGTTTTGTCAGGGTGTCTCTTTAAGCATTTAAAACTAGCACTGATTAAGGTGGTTTCAAGCTACTGCGTTTTCCCCAAACAGTACTTTTGTGGTTTAAAATAAAGCAATTAAAAAAGTCTTCAGTGATGATCTGTTATCAGTCATGGCCCACATTTGTTTCATCTACATACCCTCCCTTCCCCTACTCAGATTATTGTAAGCAGGTCACAGGTATGTTATTTTACTATTTCAATATATAGTTTTAGAAGAAAAGGATTCTTTTAAAATATAACTATGGTACTTTTATTGCCCCTCAAACATTTAATAGTAATTTTTTATTACCAATTTTACAGTCATTGTTCAAATTTTCCTGATTGTCTTTAATTTTTGTTGTTGTTGATTGGTTTGAATCAGGCTTTAAACAAGGCCTACCTGTAGATTTGGGTAATATTTCTCTTCAGTCTCTTAATCTATAGGTTTCCCTTCCTCTTTTTTTTTTTTTTTCTCTTGCAAATTGTTGAAAATCTGGGATATTTGTCCTATAGTTTCCTTTTCATATTCTGTCTGATTGCATACCTGTGGAAGCAGTTAACATTTTTCTTTCCTAAGGGATATGTTTTGGGGAGGAAAACTCTGCTTTGTTATTGGGCATATATGCTGTAAGGTATGATACTGACTTTACTTTTTGGGTAAGGAAACAGGAATTGGTGACATGCATTGTTTTCTCATAAAGCTCACCTGCAGTATAAGAAAGTGCATATTAACTGCTGGCCATTTTTATCCAGTAAATGAGCAAAAACAGTTTTTAAAGTGTGGTAAAGATTGTTGTGAAACTGCTATATTATTTTGCAATTTATAGAGTAAATTGGGACAATCCCATTAAAAATCCCATTAGTGTTTCATATAATCAGGTGTCATTAAAATATTCAGTAAAGTAATTCTGGCCCTTGAAATTTATCCTAAGGAATTAATACAATGTTGCATTGTATAAGATATTAGGATAAACCCAGTTGTCCCACAATAGGAATGGTTAAATAAAGAGATATCAACTTAGTAGAATGATACTTAATTCTTGTAAAAAGTTTGAGAACTATGGCAGAGAAAAATAAGGGAGGAAACAAAACAATTTCAGTTCTAAAATGAACATGGAAGGCACACGGTAAAGTGTAGCTAGCTGTATTAACACATGTGATTTTTCAGTTTTTTGTGCAGTAAACAAAGTGGGGAAGGCATTGCTTATATGCGTGTAATGTCCTGTGCCATATTCTCTCGTTTATGTTAGTTTCTGTAGTTAGGTATTCTTGGCATCTTGCCTGGGAATTTGGTGTGGTTCACTTCCTCTCTGTCTATGCCTGTGAGAATGTCAGACATTGTTTTGCTTTGTTTTTCAGGATAGAAATGTACTGTCGAGAGCTTACGGAGAGGTTTGAAGATGTTTGGGTCGTATCTGGACCATTGACCTTACCTCAGACTGGAAGCGACGGAAAGAAAGTAGTTAGCTACCAGGTGGGGACGTGTTTTAACATTCAGGCTTATGCTATTTGTATGAGTATAATCTCCTGCTGTCTTGTATTTTTTAAACAGTATTTATTGAGCATGGAATGATTGGCATAGAGGATATAATGATGTATTAAAAAGCAGCCATCGACTTCAAGGAGCTTACAGTTTAGAAGGGGAGACAGATGTGCTATCAGTTAATTATATTAAAGCGTGGGGTAGGGGTGGGGAACATGGGAATGCCAGAGGATGGAGCAGTGTGAGTACAGGGCATTTGTGGTCAGCAGCATGGTTCTGGGATTATAGTCCTATTGAATTAAATAAAAATCCATACTTTTAGTAACTAAGTAAATACATGGGTATAAGGAACAGCTTACCATAGAATGTCAATAAGTTTGTAAGAATGAAAGAGAAAAATCATTTGCAACCATTATAGTAATATGTTTCAGACAAGAATTGCTATGGAGGCTAAACCTAGCAAGTGAAATTTTATGAGGAATAGGTCATTATCAATAGGATATATACATACTATGAATAGGATATATACATGTAAAAGTATCTCCCCACAAATTACTTATTAATAACAAAGCAAGAAATGATAGCCTTACAGTTTTTCAGTTCACTGTGTTCCTCGCCTGGCCCATTTCACCTATTTACATTTTCCATTTAGCCCTCATTGGTCTTTGGGTTTATAATCCTAGGTCTATTGAAAATATAAAACCAGCATTTATAGTATTATGAATGTATAAGTAGAATGTTTGGACTTGTAAAGAAGTAGATATAATCCTATATCATTACGTCTGTGCCACTTGAGATAAGTATTACCACAAACAAAAAACAGAAGTGGAAAGTAAAGGTGGCAGTGTATTATAATTGCTGTTCTTAAAAATGAAATAATATGCTTTTATTTTCTACTCAGAGCATTTAACCTTATCACCGTTTTTTTAAAGGGTAAATCAGTTTCTTCTTAAGACATTATTCTTGGAGCCCTCTGACTTCTGTTCTAATGGGACTACTTGTTAACTCCCTCCTTCTCTCCTTCTATTCCTTTCTTTTATTCAACAAATATTTATTAAGCTCCCAAGATGTAGCTGGTGCTGTTCTGTGTGCTTCTGATACAGCATTAAACAAGGTTGTATGTTACATGGAGGTTGCATTATAGTGGAGGAGATACACAGCCAACAAAATGCCACATAGAAAAATAAGACATGGTAAAGAGTTGTAGTGGGCTAGGGAAGAAAGAATGGCTGGGCCACTCAGGGGAAGTGAGATTGAGCAGAAACCTAAGGGAAAGGATGGAGCGACCCACAAAGAGTTGTCAAGCAAGTGCAGAGACGGGCGAGATTTAGCCTGACATGTTCAGGAGCAGCAAGAGTGCCCGTGTGACTAGAGCAGAGAGCACACTGAGGAGGGGGGATAAACCACAGAGGGAGGCAAGGGGGATGGTGTTCATTGAGGTGGGACCTCTTGGGAGGCTTTGACCAGGATGGTGGCACAATCTTGTTTATATTTTTAAAGCCAGTCTGGCTGCTGTATGTGAGGAACAGAAGACGAGGTAGAACTAGAGAAGGCTAACGGAGTAGTGTAAATGAGAAATAGTAACGACTTGAATAGGGTAGTGGTGGTAGAAATGGTTAGAAACGGTCTGATGTAGGATGTGCCTTGCAGGTAGAATCGATGGCACTTCCGGATGGATTAGTAATAGAATAGAGGGAAAGAGTCAAGGATAATATCTAGGTTTGCAGTCTGGGATCATGAAGACCCGAGAGGAGCAGCTTTAGAGGCTAGATATCAGGGGTTGTGTTTTGTTTGCGTAAATGTGACATTGTTGATGTGCACATGGAGATTCTGAGTCGTCAGGCTGTGAGTTTGGATCTCAGAGAGGTTGTTGGGAGTGGTCAGCACAGAGGTGGTATTTAAAGCTACAATGAGATCATGTAAATGAGTACGGACAGGAGAGAACAGATCTGAGGTCCGAACCATGGAGAACTCAGACGGAGGTCGAGAGGGGGAGGATGGTCCTGCAAAGGAGTCAGAAGGTGCAACCTTTGAGGCAGAGGGAAATCATCAGAAGGCAAGGGAAGGAAGCACTTCAAGGAAGGCACGGCCAGCGGAGAACTGACTCAGGAGGAGGTCCAGGCTCGAGCATTGCATTTAATCATCCTGTCTCCTTAGTGTCCCTTAATCTGAAACAGTTCTGCAGTGTTTTTGTCCTTAACAACGCTGACATTTTTGAAGAACATGGGCTGGTTTTGCAGCATGTTCTCAATTTCGGCCTGTCTGTCGTTTCCTCGGGATTAGGTCCAGTCGTGTTTCTGGCAGAACACAGCGGTGCTCCTGTGTCGCCTCAGTGCGTCACGGTGGGAAGCACGGATGGTTTGTTTTGCCATTGATGGCTTTAGCTTTGGTCACGTGGTTAAGGTGGTCTCTTCCAGATTGACTCACTGCTAAGTTGCAGTTTTCCCCTTTGAAATGGGTTCGTAATCTCTGGAAATACTGTGAGACCATGTAAATACTCTTTTCCTCACCTGCTTGTTTTAGCGCCCTGGGGATGATTCCCGTCCGAATCAGATAGTACTGCTGGAGCCGCCAGATGGTGGTTGTCTAATTCTTATTCCTCCTACATTTTTTTTATCTTCACCGAGGATGTGTTTATTGGTTTGAGAGAGAGGATGGGAGAGAGAAGCACTGATGTGAGAGAGAAGCATCGATGGGTTGCTTCCTGTACACAGCCTGACTGGGAATCGAACCCACAACTTAGATATGTGCCCTCACTGGTAATTCAACCTGCAACCTTTTTGGTGCATGGGATGATGCTCTAACCAACTCAGCTACCCAGCCAGGGCCCTTCTACATTTATTAGTTGACATTCTACTGAGGAAGAGCTTTTTCTTATTTAGTATCAGTGTGAACTCATGATTCTTCATTTATTCAGTGAGTTTTAACCATTTTACTATGTATTCATTTTGATGCTCAGATTTGCCCACATTTGGCCAGTGGGAGCCCCTTGACACTGTCCGCTGCGTCCTTTTGACATCATCACCGTTCTAGCACTTCCTACTTTCCGGCATAAAGTGATTTTCCAGACTCTTTTTGGCCAAACTCTGTGATTAGCCATTTCCTCGAGGAGCCCTCTTTCCTTTTAATGGAGATTGGTATTTAGAAACCAAGATCTGGATAACAAGTTGATTCTTGAGTGCTCGGTCGGCTGTTTGGCTTGTCATGTGTGTTCACCACATTTATTTTTAGCCTTTTATAATGGGTGGAGAGAGCCCTAAGAAGAAAGTATGTGAATTCTGTTGCCATTAGTGGCTCGCTATTGGGAGCTTTTTCCCTTCCATTTTCAATGTTTCTATATGTTTTTGAGAACAAGATTTATAGACCCTGGTCATAAGAAAACAGATAATTGTGTGCGTGTGCATGTGTGTGCGAGATGTATGTGTATGTAGAGTTGAATGTTTATAGGAATCTATATTTCTGAGAGGCATATAGTTTTTTTATTCTTCCTTGAAATCATATCAAAGTGAAATCTACTTTTATATATTTGATTTTTCACTAACAATTCCTCTAATACAGCTTTTGTTAGATATGGCATTATTTTGCAGATTCAACTTGATTTCAGGTGAAATTTTAAACTTAAAATCTTTAGCTTGTCTGTTAGCATGTATCTATGTCTATGTATAAAGCAAAATATGGTCACTTGGTAAATTAAATTGGAAAAATTGTCTCAGAGCTTGCCGCTTTAAGAATTGAGTTGGACCAGAAATTTTGTATATGTGCTCGTACATACTTGCACATATAAACTTGGGGGAATTTGGTTAGGGAAAACAGACCCCGAAGGAAAACAGAAGACAGAGGAAAAGGTAGGGTATGTGCTGAGAAACAGTGAGCTCCTGACATTTTGGTTGGAGTGTTCATATAAGGAAGGAGACAAAAATAGAAGGAAGGATGGTTGGGGCCAGGTGGTAAAGACCTTGAGTGCCCAGATAAATAATTCAGCTGTTTTCTAGCAATTCATAGTAAAACAGTTGTGGAAAAAACCATGTCCTTTTGTGATGCTGAGAAAGAGGGCACAGCACTGCCCAGCCCTAGACATGGGTCTGTTCCTCGAGAGGAATAAATATGTGACTTGGGAATTCCTGTTTCCAAGGGAGTGTTTTGCAGTTAGGTATGGCAGTTCTGAATGCCCGGGAAGTTTCATTTTCTCAGATCCAGCCATTTAATATTTACTGCTTATTTACAAATATAGTCTAACCTTATTTTAGGAGAATGTAGCTAATAAAAGTAAGGACATTTATTTAAGTTTCTATCTAGCAGGAAGCACACATGTGTACCTTTGGAGGAAATGAAGCAATGAACTGGTATTTATTGAGGGCCATATATACCACACAGTGTATAAGTAGCTTCATACATCTATCCCATGCAGTCCTCACAAACAGCCCTTTTATACAAGTAGAAAGTTATCTTTTATAGGCAAGGAAATTATGGTTTCGAGGGGTCCAGTCCAAGTCACATAGCTAGTAATTGTCAAAGGGGAGATGCAAGCATGGGTCCGAACACTTGTATGAGAATTTCCAGTTATTCATAGCATTGTTCTTTGAAGCTCTCAGAAGTCTACAAAGGGATTGCTATGCTTTTCATGCACGGAAGCTTAAGGTCAGGAGGTAAGGGATAGTGTGGATGGAGAGCAGTTACAAGTGATATTTGCTAGCGTGCAAAAATGAGAACAGAAAATGGGCCAGGAGGAGGATTCCTTATAGCCAGGCAGAAATGTCCATTAGAATATGTAGGAGAGGATCACAGCATCATAGGACTTGAGTGTTTGTAAGCCTAAGGGGATATTAGTAGCAGTGATTTTATCAGAAGTGAGTCATCTGACAGCTCTAATCAGAATCACCCCCTTTATTATAGCCGAGGTCATCCATGTGCTTTCTCTGATGTGCATGTTTCCAGAAGAGATTGATTCCAGACAAGTGAAACGTACCTGAAGATTCTGGCCTGAACATTATAATTGACCTGACAAAAAGTGAGCTTCAGATTTTACATCTCGGTGGTGGTGGTAACATTAGAAGTGCTTGACAGTCTTGTTTTCTGTCTACAGCATCCCTTATCAAACAGTCACCAGTTCCTAGAGGGGGAAGAAATCGAATACATGCCTCCAGGGATCTTGAGGCATCACATGAAGTCATGAGGGAGTAATTTTTTTTTTTTTAAATATATCTTTGTTGATTTCAGAGAGAGGAAAGGAGAGGGAGAGACAGAGATAGAAACATCAATGATGAGAGTCACTGATCGGCTAGCCCGAAACCGGGGCAGGTGCCCTGACCGGGAATTGAACCTCGATCGCCTGGATCCTAGGTCGACGCTCAACCACTGAGCCACTCCCGGCCGGGCAGGGAGTAATTTTTTTGAAATTTCCTTTTTTAACTTTAGGCAAATCTTTTCCATATCTGTTTGTTTTAATTGAAAAATAAATTATTTTACTGGTTAAGTATCTCCTTAACTCCATTCTAAACGTCGAAGTAGAAATGACATCTGGGAAGATGGTGTTTGTTTTATGTGACTGATAGTTTCCCGCCCCCTTGCCCAGACCAGGTGCCCCGGAAGGAAAGGCCTCTCTCTCCCAGGTTTGTGCTGCTGCACAGGCACCTGCAGAGGCTTTACAGATGGCGCAGGGGTGGCCACATTCCTGGTGACTTCCCACACCTTGCGATTCCCTCACTTTTATTGTTCCTCTGTCCTCTCAGGTATGGATTCCCCATTTATCACACTTTCTTTGTTTCTTTCACTTGATTGACATGACTTTTTAGGCGCTTAGTCTCTTGATATGTCCAGCAGTTTTATTTTTGGAATTTCTTTTTTTGTCTTACCAGGGGAATGAAATCAAGTGTCTTATGTATGTCTGGTTCTAGCAGGTACATATATTTTTTTCATGGTCCTGCTTAGTATTTCACTTGAGGCATAGTTGGCATGAAGGATGGTAGACTTAGGCTGGGCATTGTTTGCTGCTGGTCTCTTCTGTTCCTGAGTCAGCATGAGGGCCCAGCTGTGTGTGTGTGGAGTTGGGGGTTGGGGGCAGGGGTGGAGGAAGGCAGCAAATTATCATTTCTGTCTCTTGCATGGAAGGAAACCTGCTCAGGCCAGCACATATGAAAAATAACTTCAAGGCACTAGTGAGTGCAGGGTTACAACTTTATCTGTATCATATTTTCTCGTCCCTTCCAGTTGATTTCCAGTTTTTGTTACAATCTTGACAAGAGTTCAGTGCTTTTTAGTATTTGAACAGCAGCAAGGATTTCTTCTGTAAAGTATTTTTGTACCTAAATCTTCTATGAAAAGGATTTTACTGACTTGCTGGTACTAAAGACTTGTTCACGTTGTCTTCGAGTCGTCTGGGCCATCATTTGCATCCAACCTGCTTTCTCCTCCTGAAGCCCTAGTGTCTCCCTTTAACTGGTCTAATCTTGCTTGACCCCAAGTTTCCTCTCAGTTCCCCTGCAGAACTGTCTTTTGTACCACATGCAGTTGCATTCCTATCTTCTGAATGACATCCACTACAAAAATAGCTTTTTATATTAAAGTCTTGCAGATTTTAAAATCTATTTTTTAACGAACATATCTTTGTGTCTTCTTAACTATCCTAAGAAATAGGCAGCATTGGGATTGTTATTACCTATTTTATGGATCAGTAAAGAAGATACTGGTGGATGTGTCTTACAGCTTAGTAGCAAAGCCGGGGCTTGACCAGATCTCTGGGATTTGAGTCCACTGAACCATTCTGCTTCAGTACCCTAGTAGTTTCAAGAAACATTTTCTGAAAATCTTCCAGTTTTCCCAAAAGTGGAAAAAATTTATTTTGTAGGTTGAGCTGTCTACAAAGAAGATGATAGCTCTAAAATAGTTTAGGAATTTTTTTTTTAAGTCTTAAATTCAAGGAAGAAACAGTGATCTTTTTCAGTTTCCAAATAGGACTGATTCCTGTATTAGAGTCTAAAGATGTTTACTTCCTGAGAACAAAGCAGACCGAAACAAATAGGATAGCGAATGGCTAAGGTTTCATTTGCTCGTTGTTTCCAGGGACAGTATTTTGTCCCTCTTTATTGAACTATGTGAAAATGTTGTGGGTGGAAGAATCACACCTCGTGATTAGTAAGAACTTCTTGGTCTCTGAGGTTTCTCAGAAGTAGTCATACAGGCCCTCTAGCTATTGTGAGTTTTTGAAAACCTAAGAGAACTGATACATTTCCTTGAGGTAAAAAGATGAATCTTAAAATGTCAAACTTATTTACTTTTGGCTGGAATTTAATGAACCGGATTAGAAGCAAATGAACAGGGCCAATTAATTGCTTTTGAAAATTGCCATTTGTTTGTAGACAAAGAGCCCATGAGGAGAGAAGGTAATCAAATGAAGGGTCTCGAAGGCTCCTTGCAGTTGGAGCCGAGAACTGTGCTGCAGTGATGGAGGATATCCACCAGGGGGCAGCAAGGGTTTGCTTAACTGCAGGCTCCCCAGCTAGCGCCTGGAACCCTGGAAGCCCACTTACACTTCCCCCTTGTACATTAGGGTTCAGCTGCTGCTGTGCCCTCAGTTCTGGTCCCGGGCTTCTTAGCGCTGTTGCTTGTGCTCTGTAGTGGTGTCTCCCACATCCTGCCTGCAGTGAAAGCTGTGGTGCTGATTCCTCTAGGTGGGAAGCTTCTTCAGAGCAGGTGTTTACTTTAAGCTTATTCCTTTCTGTTTCCAGCGGTGCCAGGCACAGGGCCTCTGAATTGTGTTGCTGAATTAACGTCTGTTGGTGGTCTCTGGGCTCATTGTAGGCCTCCATGGAGTTCACCTCCAGTGTGTCTTTGCCTTGAAGAGCATGTTTTTCTCCCAGCTGCATAAATGACTTGGAGGGGGTGGGAGGTTTGTGTCTATAGATTGTATAATTTCGTGAACTTTAAACTGCTCCCTGACCAACCATTTTCACTAACTTCAGAGACAGTTAGTTACAGAAATCTTTCCTGTGATGGATCTTCCCTGCAGCTCTGCAGTTTGTCTTGGTAGTGTGACCTCCATGCATGCCAGACAGCAGATGGCCACGGAGTTCTTGGGCTGTGTGCCATGTAGGTAGGAGCTCGGGGAAAGCAGAAAAGAACCCTCTGCAGCTCTCATCCCTCTGCCTCATCTGGGCTCCAGCAGGGTCCCCTGCAGCAGCAGGTTTGCTCTAGAGGGATGCCTCACCATGGGAGGGCCTGAGAATGGTAGGACCTGAGCATAGTAGTGTTGGATTGTGTTGTTTTGCTGGGGACCATTAAGGAAATGGATGTTCAGTTTTTCTTTTTCAGAAAACAGATACGGCTTTTAAGCCAATTGGAAGGAAATTTGAAAAGATTTCATAACAATGTTATTTTATTATTACAGCCAAGCTACACAGGCAGCCAGGCTGTTCCCAGACCTGACCCTGTCTCTGGCTTCGTTGTTGTGTGGACACCTTTCCAAAGGGTGTGATTTGATGTCACACGGGGAAGTTTGTGTCTGGTAGTAGGCCCAAGAGTGTGCAAGCCTCTGAGCATGTAGCATTTACATTTACTTAATTTTAAAAGTAAAAGCTGTTTGTTTAACTCCCTAGTGAATTTGATAAACTAAGGCCGTATTTTTGTTTCTAGAGCTAGGAGTTCCCACACTGGCAGTTTTGGCTTTTAAATGTTTAGAGTAGCAGAAGTTCTGATTATGAGGTGAAGCAAAAATTACAGCTTTTCTTGTCCATTAGAAAACCCAGGACTCACTCATGGCATTTCTTTGTCCTACAAACAGCAGAGATTGGGATGGGATATCTTATAAGTGTATTTTTAGAAATTCATCAAAAGTCTTCACATGAAAAATTTGGGAACTGCTAGCATAGATTATTATCACTAATATTGCTGCTTTGTTTTTAGGTGATTGGCGAGGACAATGTAGCAGTCCCCTCACACCTTTATAAGGTGATCCTGGCTCGCAGAAGCCCATTGTCTACTGAACCGCTGGCACTAGGGGCCTTTGTGGTGCCCAATGAAGCCATTGGCTTCCAACCCCAATTAAGTGAATTCCAAGTGAGTCTTCAGGACCTGGAGAAGCTGGCAGGGCTGGTGTTTTTCCCTCATTTGGATAGAACTAGTGATGTCAGGAATATCTGTTCTGTGGACACCTGTAAGCTCCTGGATTTCCAGGAGTTCACTCTGTACCTGAGTACAAGGAAGGTTGAGGGAGCTCGATCAGTCCTCAGACTGGAAAAGATCATGGAAAACTTGAAGACGGCCGGGATTGAACCCGATGATTATTTCATGGCGCGCTACAAGAAGAAGCTGGAGGAGCTCAAAGCCAAGGAGCAGGCAGGACTGCCGGGGAAAAAGCCGCCCTAGCGTTTCCTTCAGAATGTGACGTCGCCCGCATGGAGCAGTGTGCCCTCTTCAGGCTTGTGTGTTTCAGGGGGCTTTGCTTATTAAAAAATGATGGGCTTCTAAATTTAAGACTGAACTTCTCCCTAAAAGATGAAAGAGCTAAAGCTTTTTGGTTAGTATTTTATTTGACATGGGAACTAATTGTTAAGGGAACTAACCCCTGTGGATCAAGGGCTGCTCTGTGCAGGTTAACAGGAAGACTGTGTGCATGAGATGACACTGTGCTCAGGCCCCTCGGAGTGTACTGGATGTGAAGGCATTTTATCTTCATGTCTCCGAGTCATGCAACTTCTAATGTATCAGCTCAGCGTTCTTAGCACCCAGTATTGTGCGTTTTCTTTCCCTGGGACCTGAGTTGGACTTAGAGGTGGCTTTTAGGTGTCCTCTGTGTATTAATTACCCTGTTGACGTGTTATACAGGATGAGCAAAAGTAGGTTCACGGTTCATCCAGTAATACAATGATGAATAAATAATAGTGCAAGAATAAATGGTTTCGCATACTCACAGCCGTAAGCCTACTTTGCCCCCATGTATTTGTCCCTTGTTCCTCCTTGTGGAAACTGCTCTTTCTGTCGCAGAGACGCTCTTGACACTTTTATTTCTGCTCACTCTGTGCTCTGTATACTGTTCTGAGTACTTCACGTGTATTACCTTGCGATGACCCCTGAGGTAAACATCACTGTGGTTTTACCCGTGAGGAAATGCGCAAGCAAATCCAAGGTTTGCCTTTCCGAGGAGGCAACCCACCAGGAGTGAGGCACACAGGACTGAGAAGAAACCCTAAGGAACGTTCAGCCCGTCCCATGCATGGAAGCTTTGGACTCAAACATGTACGACACGGGTATCTGCAATCCTGGGGCCTGCTGGGTAAGAGGCATCTGGTTTCTTATCTGTCATTGAGCCAGAGGGACTTTACTGTCCTCTGACTTGAACCCTCCTTAGCTCTTTGGGATAAACAGTCACCACAATTTGAAAGTCAGAGGATGTTGCTTTGTGGGGTTTACCAGAACCCCTAGAGATGCAGTTCTTTTCAGTGGCTCCATGGTGCCAGATTGATGCGCTCCTTGCTTTCCAGGTGAGCCTTTTGTTCCAGAGGTTAAGGAACCGAAGCAGGGTCTGTGCCCACCTATTCACCTGCTCTTGATTTGCTCTCCTTTGTGCCTGTCTGCCTGGGTGACACAGGGAAGGTGGTGTTTGAGTCAGTGGCCCAAAGACAGTTATCTCTGGGGGAAGCTGGCATTTCCTGAGCCAGATCTCTAGATTTGGCTTTACCTGGGTTCTTTTCATGGACCATGCTAAGTATAGGCAGTGAAATACCTAAACTCAGGACCCAGAAGCTTGTCTAAACGTGTCATATCACTGCTGCCTTTCCAAGAGGTTATCACGACTATTCTTGTGCTTTATGTTTGTCTCTAAGAAATGCCAAGGCTTTCAGATAACGGTTTGGGTAAAGAAGAAAGAAGTTGGGGGTCAGAACACGGTAGCCTGATTAACACCACCCTCTTTTATCACATCGTTCCTTGTTAGCTTTGCCACCTTCTCTTCCCTGGGATAAAGAGCCAGCATGTCACTGTGACCAAAGATCTGTTACTTTCTCTTCTTGTTGTCGAGGTGGTAGCGGGGTCCAGGTGTTCCTCCACGAGCCTGAGGGGCAGCTCTGTGGGGGAAGTCCTGGGTGCCCACTGTGTAGAGGCGAGTCTCGTCGTCTTTCCCCAGTCTGTCACCTGCTATTCTCTCTACACCTAGATGGCAGAGAATCTTGATTTTTAAATCAATAAATTGTAGCATCTTAAGTTTTTAGTTACTTTGAAAAATGCTACCTGATCATTGTGAAAAACAGAGATAGCTAATTTCAAAAATGTAGTCACCCTACCATTTTTATATGTATAAGCTTTGTTGGTATACACAGTGATGTTTGAATTATCTCAGTATTTCAATTAATAGCCCTACCAAAACAAACTTTAAAATGTAAATAGTAGGCAGAACTTAGAATTTTTCTCTGGATCAGATTGCTTCAGCCTCCCCTGATGGAACTGTTAATTATTTGGATTCAGCTGCAGCAGACCCCCGGGCCTCTCCGCAGCATCGTGTGCATGCCCTCTGATCAAAGGAGTACCTCATTGTGGAACTTGAGCAGATTTCCATCTAGTCATTCCTTCCTGCCCAATTGTCAGGCTGAGCCTGGGACCCTGCCTCCTGCCCCATTTACACTCGGGGTCTGTCGGTGTGAGGGGAGGCTACTGGGGGAAAAGGGCCAGTCCGCTGGGCTCTGCTGCTGGAAGCCCTTCTGTGGGTCAGGGGCTCGCTGCCAGATCACCATCTACCCCCAGTGACATCTTTATTTCAGTCTCTGGATTGAGACTGTGACACAAATATGTACAAGTAGCGTAGTTACAAGGGGTGTGAGGGAAATGAACTCCTGGGTAACGATGTAATTTTATGTTTTACTAACATTGTTTTGACAATGGGAATGAAATAATAATCCACAGCTATTATAAAAAGGAGGTAGGTAGTATAAGGAGAGGAATGACCTCCACTTTCTAATGGAAATATTTGTTTAAAATTCATTTACATGTAATTATTTTCTATCAGTTAGCACAATTCTTTTCTCTGTGACAACCCAGAGCAGGACAATTGCCTTTTCAACATTTCTCACCTCCAGATATTTGCATATAATTGTTTTTTTCCCCACAGGCCCCTCCTTTTAAAAAAATAAAATTATTTTTTATGTATTGGTTTTGGGTGTACAGCTTAGTGGTTAGTCATATACTTACATAGTGTTCCCCTTGATTTTGCAGTACCCCAACTGGCGCCATACACAGTTATCACAATTATGCAGACTGTATTTCCTGTGCTGTACCAGCTTCCCCATGACTCCTGTGACTACCAGTTTGTGCTCTTCAGTCCCTTCACCTCTTTCACCCAGTGCCCTAACCTCCCTCCCCTCCAGCAACCATTGGTCCGTTCTCTATGAGTCTGTTTCAGTTTTGTTTATTTTGCTCATTAGATTCCACATATAAGTGAGATCATAATATGGTATTTGTCTTTCTCTGACTGCCTTATTTCCCGGAACATAATATTCTCTAGGTCCATCCATGCTGTCGGAAATGGTAAGATTTCATTCTATTTTTGGCCTAGTAGTAGTCCATTGTGTAAATGTACCACTGCCCAACCCAGCCTCCAGCTCTGTACACCATGAAGCCAGCCTCATGTTGGGCTGCAGGCTCTCAGGCCAGATGGAGCCACAGAGACAATCTTGTCCGGTGGGCTGCACGTTGGGCTCACATCAGAGCCCAGGTAGCTTAATTTTCCCCCCCAATTTTATTTTGAAAATTTTCAACTCTACGAAAAGTTGAAAGAAGAGTACAGTGAATGCTTTCTGTCTCAGTATTTTGTCTCATTTATTTTTTTTTTTAACCGTTTAAAATGAATTCATTGTTTAAAAAAAGTTGTAGACATGGCTCTTCACTTTTTAATACTTTCCTGTATCACCTCAGAATAAAGTAATTCCCCTATCTTTCCAAATTACTATTATTACCACATGTAAGAACATTACCAAGAATTCAATAAACAATCTAATCTAATAAACAATCTCTTAAAATTTTTCTCAGTGTTCCCAAAATATCTTTATACTTTTAAAAAATCTAGGCATCAATCAAGGTTCATATATTCATTGTTTTTTGTTATTATATTTAGTCTCAATCTAGAACAGTCCACCTGGTAACCTTCAAAAAAATATAGATTCTCTAATCCCACCCTTGAAGATTCTGATTCAATAGATGTGGTGTGAGGCCAGAATCAACAGTTTTTAAACAAGCAACAGTGGTGATTCTAATGACGAGCCAGGAGTTGGAACCAGACTATACCCTGCTTTGCCTGTACTCTCCCCAAACACACGTTCCCCACACAGGAGTCCTGTGACAAGCAGGTGATCTTTTGAGCTTGTGAATATCAAGGAGAACTTTCTCCCATCCCTTTTGGCCCCCAGTACCGTTTACTGTGTGGTAGAGCTTCATAACACTAAGCTGAAACCTCCCCTATAACTCCTACCCATCAGTCACAGGCCCCGATGGCCATTCCAGGCTAGACAGCTGCCTGGCACCTGCTTTCACCTGGAGACGGGAAGCTTCTAAAGACAATAGGCCTCATTTCATACTCAGGCGTTCCTGGAGTTTAGAGCCTTCGCCATCCTGATTTCACATGCCCTCGTGGTGTGGCAGTCATGTCCCAGCAAGGCATTCAGGCTGCAGTGATGGCGGTGCTGAGCTGAGGGGATGGACCGTCGTTAAGGACACTCCACTCACTCCACTCTTCTCGCTTACCATTGGTTCATGTGGAACTTGCTCCTGCTAACCGCCTCTGGTCTTTTCCACATGATCTGTCAGCTCACTCTCCCATCATGCTCTTACATTGTCAGGTTTTGGAACACAAATGTGGGATTATGTGTATGCCCAACTGTTAATACTTCATTTTATTACAGTTTCTACCCATCCTAAGCAAGTTCACATTCCTGATGATCCCGATTCGGCCATCTGGTATGTTAGCTTTGCCTCCCAGTGTTGAGATTGCAGATTGGACAAACAAGCCTTCAGTGTGTCTGTTAAAAACCGAATGAGACAGCCGAGGAAGATCCCTTTGGTAAAAACATTTTACCGGGCGACCAGCTTCACACACCCTGCAACTTTCTTGGGATAGTAATGTGCTCTGATATTTTCTTTAAGTTCAAGTCTCTTCTATTTTTTTGAAAGGAAAAATGCTAATTTGAGAAGTAGTTTGTTTACAAGCTATCCCGTCTATGCTATGCTATTCTGTTACAGCAGCTTGAGTGGACTAAGACTGACTGACGAAGGTCATCTTGTCCTGAGGGAAGGGAGGGACAGGGCCTGACTTTAGGACCAGGTGGAAGCAATTCCACCTGTCCCCAATCCTAGGACTGCAATGTGTTGCAGATGTGTTGCAAAGCGCTTCCACATCTGTCTTCCACATCTGGGTTTGTTCAGTCTACCATTCAAACAGCTGCTGATCCTCCCATTTCATAAATGAAACAAACTCCAGGGATGTGTGACTTACGAAGGTTTTCTGGCTCCCAGTCTGATGTTTGCCCTCCACTCCGCAAGGTTGTTGGCTATTTTAATTTGCTTTGTAATTTAGTCATTCACTCATTTACTCATCTTCGCCCTACCAGGCCCTGCCATCTCCTGGAGGCAGGTAAATGACCAAGTTGACCCCTTCCTGGGGCCTCCAGAGGATTCTGTAAATTGTAGGTGCTCACAAAATGTTTTGGAATTAGCAACAAGTCAGAAACATCTAGCCTAACCTGCTGGAGTCCCACTGTGCTCATTAGGGCCCTGGAAGGGAAGGGTGGGGACTTGGCCCAGCTGCAGGTCAGTCTCTCTGCAGGGACCAGTAGGCACCTGCTAGGACAGAGTGAGAGGGCTGTGGGGGAGGCGTCTCCAAGGAGTCAGGAAGGCGTGTGCAATGGTCAGGAATCTCCTGCCAGGGTGCTGGCTATGTGCTTATAGGCAGGCAGGTGTCAGCGGAGGGGTGCAGGGTCCCTGTGTCTGGGATAACTCCTGGGGTGCCAAGCATGGCTTCCTGCGGGCTTTAGCTCCCAGCGCACTTTCCCCAGGGCCCTTCGTCTGATCCGATCAGTCTTCCAGCTGCTTGCAGGTGTGGAGCCCGCCCTCTCCTACCCGACCAAGACACCGGAAGCATGCTCATTCTCTGCCCCCTCCGCCCCATTTCCTACACAGGCACGAGGTGAACGGTTCCGCCTCTGGTGATGCCAGGGCTCCTTCCCACCAGCATGTCCTCTGAGGCTGCAGGCGCGGGGCAGTGGCAGGCAGGGGCCTTGAGTCTGCCCAGCCTCCCAGCATCTCTGAGGCCTTGGTACAGCCAGGGCCCTAGGGGCTCATTCTTAGGCCACCAGATGTGACAAATGTTTTAGTTCCCAGCACCACCCAAGATGGGCTCCTGACTGCCTGCACTGGGCTCCCAGTTTATGTGCCTTGTGGCCCTGTCACCCCTCTGCGCCCCTGCCCACCACCTCACAGGGAGCCTTTAACCCCTTGCTGTCCACTACCATTCAGACACAGGTGGGGACCTCAGCCCTCACCCGGGGTAGTATGAGGCATTTGTGCCCTCTCCCTGCAGGAGGCTGAAATTTGAATAGACTGGTGCTCCCCAGGGATAAATGTGCCCCTCGCTCCCCCTTCATGGTGGCCCTGGGACCCTGCCTCAAGGGCCCCCAGGCTGAGGCTCAGACCCCCACACACTCTGGGCTTGCTCCGCTCCTATGTGTCCTTGCAATATGATTTTAGCTGAATGGCCCCTCCTTCCTCGTAGCTTCCCTATCTGTAAAGTGAGGGTTGGGCTACATAGCTTCCAGGGTCCCTCCTGTGTGGTGCCCGGCAGAGCACTTCTCAAGAAAGGCAGCCGCAGGGAGGTTTGCTGGGGAGGCATGTGGGGCAGCTTGCTGGGCAGGCTGGTGGCCTCAGGGTGGTTTGCGAGGGAGGCATGCCAGGCCAGCATGCTGGGCAGGCTGGAGGCCACGGGGATAAGTGGGCTGAGGGGCCTCTTGGAGGTGTGAATGAGGGAGGCAGAGCAGGCCGGTGTGGACAGCCCTGTCCCGGCTCTATCTCCCATCTGTGACACCCTCTCCACACCCAGGCCCTGATAAGCAGGTGTGAGACACGGCTGCCTTGTGACAGGCCCTTCAGCAGGGAGGGGACTGCGGGGGTCCACTCCACTTCTGAGTTCAGACGTCAGCCTCTTCCTCCCCACCCCCATTTCCCTGCCAGATGGACAGGCCCGACCAAGCAGGCATCCTACCCCCTCCAAGCAGGCATCCTACCCCCTCCAAGCAGGCATCCTACCCCCTCCAAGCAGGCATCCTACCCCCTCCGCCCCTGCCTGGAGACTGCCTCTGCCCCAGAGGCCTCAGCCTCCTCAGGGGTGGTAGGGAACAGACTTCTCAGAAGGAACGTGTCCAGCCCTGCCAGGCTTGCTCCTGCTGGCACTGGCGCTGGCGCTGGGCACCCCAGTGCTTTTCCCTGTACACATCTCAGGACTGGTCCCTTGTCTCCTCTCTTCCAGTCCCCATGCCATCAGCTTTCAATCATCCTCCCTCAGCTCTGGTGTTGGGGCCACTGCTACACCTGGGCCCCACTTCTTTCTTCTGAGGCCAAGGCCAGAAACAGCTTATTTTTCAGTTTGTGGGCAAAGGGTGAGGGTGGAGGGGGAAGCAGAGAAGGCTGGGGGCAAGGGGAGTGGAGCTTGGAGCTGGAGGGAAGCGCAGGGGGGCAAACCAGACGGGTTGGAGTCTGCAGGAAACCGCCTGGGGGGGGGGGCTCTGCCCAGGCCCGGGGCCCCAAGGCACTGAATTGGAACTTCCTTCTACTTTCTCAGAGGCTCTCCTCCGGTCCAGAGCTGGAGACTAGTTTGGCCCTCAGCCTGCGGCCAGAACGCACCGGGCCGCGCATCAGCGTGTCTGGGTCTAAGCGTGTGCTCGTTCCCTGCATGGGTCCCGCCTGTGGTCCCGTCTGTGGTCCCATCCTCAGCTGCACAGCTGCCGAGGCCGCAGAGTGCCCTGGCCCAGAGCACAGGCCCGGGAGCCAGGCAGACTGGCCGGGAGTCACGCCCCAGCTCGGCTCCCACCAGGCTGGGCCTGTGGGCAAGCTGCTCAACCGCTCTGTGTCTCAGTTTCCCCGTCTGTAAAGTGAAGAGGACAGCA